CTTTTCAGAGAGTGTTGTATTTTTGTTTTGCAGACATTATTAATCACCTTACTCACAAAAAAGGAAAAAAGTCATCAACATTTCAGATTTCAGACTCCATCCAAATCCTGTCTTCCTGTGAATGAGAATAGAGAAGTTGTAAACATACAGCAAGTATTCTTTTAAATGATATGTGTGTGCACATATACACACATTATAAAAACTACAATATATACAGTGTAATACTACAGTAAAATATATTAAATCTATAATATATACAGTATAATACATTTTAGTATATTATTCAAAAACACAGTATTTGATGTAAATTACTATTCTATCTTTTAAGTGGGAACCAATAGCAATGTATGCACACTAATTTAATGCTTGGGCTGGCTTGAATACATAAGTCACAAGACTGTTAGGGATGGATAAGTTAGTGTTTTAATAAAGTTAGACAAAAAAAAAAAAAAAACACGCTGGCCCTAGGGTAATTTTTCAGACTTTTTTCCACCCTAGGCAAGATTACGGATGATCTCCTATTTAAAAATAATGTTAATAAATAATAATTAAAATATAGGGGAATATTGAAAATACTGCCCTCTCATGAGAAAAATCTTTCGTAATTTATTGTATATACTACACAGCAAATTTTACATAGTAGATTTAACTACCTTAGACTTAAAATTAACACTCCCTCAGAGTTTATATGGGAACCACTATAAGTGTTAAAAATAACACTTTTGAAAGTGTTAACATTGTCAACACCAAGAGAGTGTTAATTAGCAAACTCTTATTGTGTAAAATATCTGTTAAATTTCTGAAAAAATACCAGCAGCTGCGGTTGCCAAAATCTTTCTGTGAAAAACATGGAAGTTTTGTAGAACTGTATAAATTTACAAAAAATAACCATATTTCATGAACTAATACAATGTTCAGTTTACAAAATCATAGCTCAGTAGAAAAAAAAAGTAAAGTCTTTAGATGCAATAATGTGTTCATGTGTGATTGCAATTAGCAAACAGATTTTGACTGCATTAGTAACTACACAGTTACCTTTAAACAAAAGAAGATGCAGCATAACATCAAATACTCTCAGTTCATCTTGGACTTGAACAGAGACGCTATTATCCTCCACAATGGTGACACAAAAACTGTTTAGCTGTTTTTCTTTCTTTTTTTTTTTCATTTTTAGATTTTATGGAAAAATACCAGCAGCTGTGGTTGCCAGTAATCTGCTGTTTTTAACATTCATAAATTCAGTTTACAGAATATTTCTGTTAAAAGCACATTCAACAGTCTGTATTTTTTATCGATCTCACACTGCAAATTTTAGATTTGGTAGATTTAACAACCTTTGAGTTAAAATTAACACTCCCTCAGTGTTTATATGGGAACCACTATAAGTGTTAAAATAACATTTTTGAAAGTGTTAAAATTTTTAACACCCAGAGAGTGTTAATTAGCAAACTCTTATTGTGTAAAATATCTGTTAAATGTATGTCAAAATACCAGCAGCTGTGGTTGCCAGTAATCTTTCTGTGAAAAACATGGAAGTTTTATATAACTGTATAAATTTACAAAAAATAATCATATTTCATCAACTAACACATTGTTTATTTTACAAAATCATAGCTTAGTGCACAAAAATGTAAAGTCTTTAGATGCAATAATGTTTTCATATGTGATTGCAAGTAGCAAACAGATTTTGACTGCATTAGTAACTACACAGTTACCTTGAAACAAAAGAAGATACAGCATAACATCACATTTTTTTTTCAGTTCATCTTGGACTTGAACAGAGACTCTATTATCCTCCACAATGGTGACACAAAAACTGTTTTGCTGTTTTTCTTTCTTTTTTTTTTCATTTTTAGATTTTACGTAAAAATACCAGCAGTTGTGGTTGCCATCAATCTGCTGTTTTTAACATTCATAAATTCAGTTTACAAAATATTTCTGTTAAAAGCACATTCAACAGTCTGTATTTTTTATCGATTTCACACTGCAAATTTTAGATTTGGTAGATTTAACTACCTTAGAGTTAAAATTAACACTCCCTCAGTGTTTATATGGGAACCACTATAAGTGTTAAAATAACATTTTTGAAAGTGTTAAATTTTTTAACACCCAGAGTGTTAATTAGCAAACTCTTATTGTGTAAAATATCTGTTAAATGTATGTCAAAATACTGGCAGCAGTGGTTGCCAGTAATCTGCTGTTTTCAACATTTTACATTCGTAAATTCAGTTTCCAGAATATTTCTGTTAAAAATACATCCCATAGTCTGTATTTTTCATTCGAACACACTTAGGCCTTAAATTCCAGAGCAAAATCCAAACTAGTGTGCTCACTACAGAGGGCTGAACACTCAGACAGTGATGAAGGTAATGAGACAATTAAGTGTCTAATTAAAGGATGATTGAGAATTATTGATGAACAACTGTTAACAAGCAGAATCACTGAAGGACAGAAAAACACAAGCCAAAACCAAAGATGAAATCAACTGAGAAAAAAAAACTCTAAATAAAATAATAATCAATAAAATAAAACAAACTACACAATAAAAATGTTATTTTTCAACATCTTTAAAAAAAACTCATCACATTAAACAACTTATCATGGAGCTTCACCTATTACTGACCTTTGACTTGATTTCTGTCATGTGAACAAAAGCTCTTAATGAAATTTCTGTTGTTCATTTGAAGTCATCATGATGGAGGACAGAGTCTGCTTAAGTCAGGCTCTTCAACTTCTTACTATAAATGTCTTTTATTTTGGCTGCTATAGTTAGTGTTAATCACACTATTTATACCTATAGCATAGAAAGCCAAAAGAAAATTAAAGTGTCAGTCTGAAGAGGATATTGATGATATCATAGCCATCCTTTCCTGCTTGTTTTTTAATTCAGTATCATATTAGTTATGTGTGAAAAATAAATAATATACACAAATGAAACAACTGAAGCTCCAACAATTAATGACTTTATAACAGGTTTAAAACACCATTTACAATGATAATGTTTGATCCATGGCAGCACTTAAAAACACCCAGACATCAACAATTAGTCTTTGAGTCTCAATGATGGTGACAAACAAAAAAAATAAAAATCAAGTAAAAAAACACACTACTGAAACATCACCTCCCAAAAACAACACAAAATACAGGAAAATAAAGAGATTGTAAGAACATAAAGCTGCAAAATAATTCATGCTGCAATGCATGCTGGGAGTTTTGTACTATGCTGGCACCCAGCATGCATTGCGGCATTAACTATGCAGCTTTTTTCTTTTTTAGCAACCACGGTCATATGTTGATTCTTGATGCCTGTGTGTCATAAAGTGCAAGCTGGAGCTTGAATGTTTAGTGCATGACACTCTAATTATTAAATGCATCCTAATTGTTTGTTGAATCTTCTATTAAGAGCAGCTAACTGCCAGTATTATTGTCCCATGCAGTTTTATATATAATCTATATTTGGATATTTTTATGAATCAACTTATTAAACACCTGAAATTATATCTATAACAATTAATCATAAACAGTATAGTTTCTCTTAACTTTCTTTTGCTATAGCTGATGAGTTTAAAAATCACAGCTATAACAGTCAGAGAAACATTAGGTTATAAGCGTGAAGCTTCAAGAGCTCAAATAAGCAGCCTCTGATCTCCATGATGGTGTGGTCAAATGAAATATTTTTAATAAAAAAAATATAAACCTCTGTTCATTGTCAAATATTCTTACAGAAATGAAGTCAAACTGTAATCAGTGAAGCTGCTTATACTATTATTTAATGGAGTTGTTTAATCCTCTGTTTTAATTCAGTTGGTTTGGTGTGAGGCTGTGTCTGTAGATTTATTTCTTCCTTCAATTTCTTATTCCTTCAGTGATTGTGCTTGTTAACAGCAGGTGTTCAACAGCAGGTGTCTGAATTCACTTATTTGTGGTCATTCCCTCTGTCTAGTGGACTAAACTAATTGACTAATTTAAGGGCTAGGTGAATGAGCGTGTGGCGAGATTTCAGACACTCTGATTAGTTTCTCAAACACAAGGGTTTTCTACAAAGGTGGATACATGTTACTCTGTGTGACAAGGAGGCAAATCAGCTTCTAACGCCGAGAGGGTTATTTTACCTTTATCTAACTCTAGAATTTTAACACTTTACTCTGAATTACCTCAACACTTGAAATTTAACACCAATGAATTTGCTGTGTATACAACTAGTACTATTAGTTAATTCTTACTGATTGGATTTTTTTAGGTTCATCTACTACAGCCCTTTTTGAGGGGGAAAAAAAACCACCGTGTACCTTCTGCATCTGCTGTACTACGGGACAGCAACCTGTTCCAGATGGCTGGCAGGATGATAGGCCATTCATTTTTGCATGGAGGTCCTAGTCTTTCTGGACTGAGCATACCCGTGGTCATAATCAGCTCAGACCTCGTTTATTTTAAAATAATTTAATTCACAGGAATTAGAAAAATAAGAAAGTTACATTTCTTTTTTAATTCTCCCCAAAATTAAAGAACTTCAGTTAAAATGATTAATGATGTGTCTCCATCAAAAGAATTCCTGAGATTAAAAGTTGATACTGAGGAGAACTTGTCAATTTTGTGAAAGTTATTGAAAACACTGAGCATGTTTATACAATTGCATATACTCATGTACATGACTCATAACACATAATGTCGTGCAGATCATTAATTCTATTTTATTTACTTGTGTAAATATATATTTATTCACTTTTTAAATTAAATACAGTAATATTATTGACTAATATGAAAATGTTTATCTGATTTATGTACAATGCAGTTTTTACAGTAATATTTTTTTGTC